TTGAACTGTTCATTTATCAGAGTGTTTACTTTAACGAGAAACGAATGAAAGGAAACGAAAGCGTAACGGACACGCTTAGTTACCATGAAAACTCTAAACCACTGTACTTTGGTGTCACATTTGTTTTTGATTTATAGCCAAAATTGTTCAGCAAGTCTTTAGGTTTAAATCATCGTACAAAACGTTCACCACCTTCAAGAAGGTCGATGTGAATGAATATACTTACTATCAAGATATTAGATTGTACAAATGATACACACAACTTCAAATATATTATAGGACGTCACTTTCACACATGTACCTTGAATGTTCTTAACAAACACACTAAATGAAACAAATCTTAAACGTTTTCTATTAAGCATTTAATCACATTAAGCATCTAAAACAGTATGTTCAGTTGTGACAAGTGGTTGAATGTAGGGCGTTAAGAGAATATAATAATGTGAGTGGGAACTAAACATCTCGTAGATAAACATGTATACCCTCTACATAACCATCGAAATATGTCAGTTTCTTTTCAAATGTATTATGACGTTCTGACGTCACATGCATACGCGACTAAAAAAAAAAAAAATTGGTACTATACAATAATTCGCCGTAGAATCTGCTCTTTCCCATACACAAGTTTTCAAATGTACATCCTAGCTTATTTTTTTTATCCCCATCTTATTACCAATGGTACTGTGCGATAAAAACTTAGTGAATAGCTAGGGATGAGAGTGTAAACGCAGAGAATATCAATTATGTGGTTCACGAATATTTGAGTGTTTTCAAAGTTTCGCTCAAAGCTACATAAGAACTATCTGCGCATAGCCTTTCGTAATTTTGGACTGATAAACTATTAAAAAAGGGAAGGCAGCTAGTCAAAAGAATTCACCGCTAATTCTTGCGTTACCCTTACCTTACCAAGTAGTACGACTTGACTGTCACTCTTATATTGCACCTACGATCCAACAATCGAAAGCGCATTCTTTTTTGGGGGAGGGGCAATGGGAGATGAACAAGAATCCTCTGATTCACAACCCGGACATTCTAATAACTAGCCCACGCAGGGCCTTAGCGAATGATTAACAAAGTCAGTTTATAACGGTCGCTCTCGCACTTCATACATATATGTACCGTTTTTGTTTTTGAAACGCTACAAATCAGTGAATTCATTATTGGTTTCATATATTCTGTGACTAATTAGATATTTAGGCGTTGAAAGGTAAAGTAGAATGATAGAATGGGCACGCAACCTAGCCCTGATGACTGTGAAGATGAAGCCTGACGAACAGCTTATGCTGTACATGTTTAACACGCAAGACAGCTGAATACAACTTTAATTAACTCTAGGGGCCACCAACGTGATCCTAGGTTTTATAAAAGCAGATTGTCATACTGACGCGTACCTCCCTTGCTGTGCTTTGTTTTTTCTCGTTTCAGAATTTTCTTTCAGAGCTACATAAGGCCTATCTGCGCATAGCCGCCTCTAAGTTGGAAGTGACAATCTAAAGTAAAGGCAGCTAGTCAACAGCACCTACCGCCAGCTTTCGAGCTCCTCTTGTCCGATCGAATACTTGGATTTGGTCATCACTCTTATAGCGCATCCACGACCCTAAAGTGCGGAGCACGTTTTTACGACAACGTGTTGCGAACCATGGATACTCTAATTCATACTCGAGGCACGCTTACCAATAGGCCACGTCCGGCCCCTTGATGTGTTAATACAGGGCCAATTCTTAAACAGTCATCAATATGATTCTAGTACTCCTATCCAGGATATCTTATAAATACGTAGTCACTTTGATGTGCTAATACAGGGTGTAGAGTAGTTTTTAGCGTGTTTTTTATGGGGGGGGGGGGGACAACCAGCTTCCTAGTCCAACACTCTAACCATTGAACCACAATCACCCCACGAAAAATGAGAAAACTGAAATTGAGACATTATAGCATTGACGAAAAATATTATGTCACTATAAAAGCTAAAAAAAAATTGAATTTTTGCTAACCCAGAGTAAAAACAATCCAAAAGGTGAAGTTTATTTTATAAGAAGACGTCATGGCCTTTTATATGTTGGAATTTTGTTTGAATAATATTATTCTTAAAGCTCTTCTATGTTCAATAATTTAATTCTAACTACATTCTGAGAGTTATGAATGGGGCAGATTTTACTATTATACGTTCACGATGCAGTAAGACTCCTCAATTTATATTCAAACACAATTTACGTACTCTAATGCTATTATTATTCCCCGTTTTCGTGTTTTATCAAGTAAATGTATCATTTTAAATACGCAAGTTGTCTCCTTTCAAACTTCGTGGTTTTCATTTTGCATTAATTGAGATATAATATAGATCTCCTTTTGTATCGTGAATGATATATTTTTCCATAAAAGTGGCTTCGGAAACGTTTCGTTGTGAAACACTATTTGACAATGCTTTGCAGTACTTGAAAGAGTGGTATAATTTAGCTCAAGAAAAGGGAGAAAACATTAAGAATTTCCTCAATCAAACAATTCTGGTAGTTTAAACCAGGAAGGTGTTTTTGTCAACGAACTTGAATATCGAAGTTTCGCTTTTTCTTTCCTGAAGCCACTGCGGAGTTCAGATTACACACATTATCCAGGATATTACAAGACAACGCTGTCCAGGTAATCTATATAATTTCCAATGTGAAGAAATAATCACTTCAATTCTCCAGGCATTATGGCCGCCTTTCCATTTTAAAGAAGTTTAAAAAAAAGAAAAAACACGCGAGCATTTACAATATTGTACACTTTTTTCCTTTGTAACAATAGACACTAATGTCAAAAGAAAAATCAATCAAAATAGTCCAAAATATGCTAGCTAGTACATAGCCAGGTACACAAAGTGCCAAATAAAGAATACCTAAACAAAATTATTAAATGAATGTTGAATAATTTGTTGATAAGTGCATACAAAGCTACACAATGAGTTATTTGCTGTGCCAACCACGCACATCGAAACTCGATTTTTAGCGTTATAAGCCCTCTGACGTACCGCTGGACCACTTGGGGGCTGTTGAATGATTTGTTGATAAGTGCATACAAAGCTACACAATGAGTTATTTGCTGTGCCAACCACGCACATCGAAACTCGATTTTTAGCGTTATAAGCCCACTGACTTACCGCTGGGCCACTTGGGGGGCTGTTGAATAATATTAATGTATTCAAAACTGTTACTGAAACCATTCCTTTACTCTGTTTTTTTCTAATCGCTACTGGCAAAACGATAAAAGTAAGAAATTAAATAAATGGAGAATCCCTGTCAGGCAATAGTGGTGTACCTATGTTCTTTAATATTGAATGTTTGTCATACACGCTAACAAAGTCGTGGGAGTCAACAAATTATAACCATTCGAGTGTCACAAACTTCAAAAACAAACTAATGATGTCAGGAACTAGTAATGAAAAGTGATTTAAAGTTTCAGAAATACGAAAATGTGATCACTTCTCACAAAATCTAAGAACAACGATTATCACTATAAGGAATTTTACTATACATTCATTGTATTGTATTGTATTGCATAGGAATCGTCAACGTGGTGTGAGTCTTGCCATAAGAGAATTTACCACATTCATAACTGTATTAACATGGTAAGAGTCTTGCCATAGGATAGTCTACTACATTGTATATTATAACTCACATGAACATGATATGAGTCTTGCCATAAGTAGAATGTACTGTATTTGTAACTACGTCAACATGATATGAGTCTTGCCATAAGAGAGTTTATTACAATGTAAATCATGGCATACGTAATATGTGGTGGTGATTGTAACTAAATTACGTTAGTGAAACAAGAATAACAAACAACACTACAAGAACCGTCATTTTAGGGAGGAAATTATTATTTTCCTAAATACTCTCTTAAAATCGTCATTCAGTTTGTTTTAGAATGTAGAACGCCTTAGGTGGCGCTGCATAACATTTGGTAGTAGTACATGTATAATATTATATCGCTGTAATGCTGAAAGTAATTTTAATCATATTATTATTTTCTGACCCAACATTGAAAGGCGGTAAGAAGAGTGTATAATAGCGTACGATGCCTCGTTTGCTATATGCCGCTGCCAACAACCAAAGGGCTACAGCTTAGCCAGTAAACAACTGTATTCAGGACTTTTTGTTTAAACGACAGTGACATCGACTGAAAACAATCAAAACTTGAAGCCAACACCAATTCCACGCACTTAGAAAACGACACCATCCAAGTTACATATTAGATTAGATTAGTACAGTTAAAAACACTTGCTCCATGTAGAATTTCTGCTCCTTGAAATCCAAAAGCGATATTTATTATGACGATCACATGATTTTTATACACGAATGAAAGTATGAAGATCGAGTCACATAACTATCTCATAAAAGAAGGCTTACAACATATACTCTCTGAAGTATTTAACATAATAAGAACGGATAACAGACATCGTGTTTGAAATCTGTTCTAATTGTATGAAATACTACTACATACGTATGAGATCTTGTATAACAATGCGATTGTTGCATTAGCTAAAATCCGTCATTTTCCCTATAGAAAACATAAATCAATTGATAAGCGCTGTAAACATTAGCTAAAATCAGTCATTCTCCCTATAGAACACATAAAGCCATTGATAAGCGCTGTAAACATTAGCTAAAATCAGTCATTCTCCCTATAGAACATATAAATCAATTGATAAGCGCTGTAAACATCAGCTAAAATCAGTCATTCTCCCTATAGAACACATAAATCAATTGATAAGCGCTGTAAACATCAGCTAAAATCAGTCATTCTCCCTATAGAACATATAAATCAATTGATAAGCGCTGTAAACAATATTGAAATCGCAGAGATTCGAGGATCCAAGGAAATATTATTGTACATAAGACCAGATTAAACCTGGATGTGTCAAGTTGAACATGGCGCAAGTGCGGGTACATACATAGGAATAAATTTGTGAATCGATCACACATATCGATCTCTGATCAAAGGAAACTGTAAATACAACTTACCATAATAATGACTCATTACTTTTTCTCAGCAGTTGTGAATGGTAGTATCTTAATCTTTTGTACCGCTAAGTCATCAGCTTCTAGAGAAAACCCGTGAACCGAGCAGAAACCAATTACTGTCTGCTAGAGCTTACCTTCGTGAGAGACACGTCAGTGCCACGACCTAAGCTGTCCCTGCCCCGTGCTACAATGATTTGTACTCTCTGCACTTGGGATGTGCCGTGGTTGTTTGCAACGGGTGTTTTCATAGGCGGGAAACATCGTGACGTCATGGTTCATGTAGCATGCCTTAGAAGGCATGTACCCGCCCCTGACCGCCCAACAAACACTTTGTTCTTGCCCAGCCAGAACCTTTGCCCGCCCATCCTTCCCTGCACACGCAGGAATTTGAAGGAGTATGAGGGAATGGTTAATTAAGATCAGCCTTAGAATTTTATAAACTTGTTGGATGCAGCTTTCGCCATATTGCCGCTGCACCGTATATAGCGTGTCGCATAAAAACTGAGCAGTGGAAACAACGTGAGTTCGAGACTATACAATCTCGTGCAAACAGTAACAGTGAGATGCAAATAAAACACTTTGATATAAGAAAATGAACCGAATAATAAATAATAAAAGATGATAACAATAATTTGTACACCAGAGGGCGGTATAGGAACATCGTAAAACATTTAAGAAAACAGGTAAAATGACTGTAGACTCACTGGGAAACTACTAGGATAATCGCTAAAAAATCCAAATATTTACCTATTTACAACTTTATCACTAAAAACATTGGTTTGGTTTATTTGGAATTTCGCGCAAAGTTACACGAGGGCTATCTGCGCTAGCCGTCCCTAACTTAGCAGTGAAAGACCAGAGGGAAGACTGCTAGTCATCACCACCCA